TTACAGCACTGTCACACCGCATTTATAATAAAGTCTTATCTTATGGATAAGAGTAAATAATAAATAGATAAAGTACAATTAGTGGGTTCTCATGCATGTTCAAAAAAAAAAAGTACAATTAGTGGGTATTTATAGTAAAATCTTATCTTACGAATAAGAGTAAATAACAAATAAATAAAGTATAACTCGAGAGAAAATCTAGAGTAGATTCAATTCAACAGTGATAATAAAAGACGATGAACAAAACACACGAACAATCTCAAAGGAACAAGTTTGTATAGATTCTTTTAGTCGAATGATCTAGATAACTTGCTACCCTTCAATCTATCCTTGTAGGAGTTGCATTTGGTCTTTAGCATATTGAGGCAGGAAGATCCAAGCAGGCGGTGACCACCCCCCATAATCATCATGAGAGGCTCAATGGCCACTAGAACTACGTAAACCAACGACTACCTCCTAAGATTTGCGTGATGGATTAGTTGGTCACTTAATCTAAGATCGAACAGAAAAAGCAAAACTAGAAAAACAAAAAAACAAGTAAAGGATCACCATAAGGGGTCTCAAAAGCCAATAAACCACAAAGGGGTCATTGGAACATGGAGCACGAAACCGGCTCCATCATGCTTGAGCAATCAGAGATCTCACTGACTCAAGCATCAAAAACTTGGAAGGCCCAACGGCTTCTGAGCACAAAATAAACAAAATACAGAGGAAAGGTAGTCAGAAGCGAGAGAAAAAATTATACATATATATTAAATTGTATGATAAAAATAATTTTTTATTATTTTTTAAATTTATTTCATTTATAAGTTATGCGATTTAAATTTAAAATATTTTATTTTTATAAAAAAATTATTATTTTTTATACATTTGATTATTGATTATACAAAATGAATAATATTTCTTATGTCTAAATCTTTATTTATCTAATTTAATATTTAAACTTAAAATCTACGGTTTAAAATCTCAAAATTTTGATCGTCAACCCTTTGCATTTGGGTTATAAAAAAAAATATTACTAGTTAGCTCTTTATATGTTATTTAAATTATTGAAATAACATTAATAGGAACTTTGAAAGAGACCTTGAAATGAAAAAAGAAGGAATAAGACCTTCATTAGAATCAAGATGTATTCCACAGTTTGCTTAAGCTCTCAATTAAATTATGTCCATGTAATGTATCTATTAGCTTGGGGTATTCTTTGATTGCAGAATTAAAGGTCAAAGGAACTCGTGTCGAGAATAAACCACGTAGTATTGATTTAATGATATGATTAAATTAGCGTTGACATATATGATGGTTTGCTTCTGCTGTTTTAAGTTTTCCCTTAATA